CAGACGTTGACGTGAACCGGTGGTAGCCAAAGCTGACGTGACGCCAAGGTTAGCCGAAGCTGTGGCTGTTAACGGTGGTCAGCGTTGATCAAATCACGGCTGAAGGTAGTGGCGAGGTTGCAGGACGTTAGCAGCATGAGCAAGCAGCTATCGTGGCGAGCTGGTTCCAGTACTGGCCAACCGTGACAGTGGCGTGGGTCTTCGATGGTGTTGCTTGGAGCTGCGCCGACCAGCATGCAAACGGCGTTAGCCTCAGATTTGTTGAAGAACAAAAAGCCTGGGTGATCTCAGTTTGGGGGGAAAGTGTGCCGAAATGGGTCCTTGGAGTTTGATCTCCTGCAAATAAAATAAAAAAATTCATTAGTGAGCAAACCCGAAGCAGAGCCGCTTGAAGAAGAAAAGAAGAGCTGGGTCTCTCTGTGTAGAGAGAGAGACCTAAAACGGCTGTGCAACAAAATAATAATAAAAGAAAGAGAAAGGCTAGATGGTCTTGGCGGCTGGAGGCAAACAGAAAAGAGAGGCTACATTGTTTAGGGTTTTGAGCCATCTCTTTAAATAGAATAAAAAAAAAGGTGTGATATATGGAATAGGCCTCATATATTCTGAATATATATATGCATATATATAAGAGGCCAACCTATTTCCAAGCCCAAAAAGAAAAAAAAAAATTTGATTTCTTATCTTAATTCTTATTTCTTTTACTTGGAGTAAAAAAAAAAAAGGGGGTTTTGTATTTTTCAATACTTGGAGAAGTGAAAATGTAATTATCAATATTCTAAAAAAAAAAAAAAAAAAAAAAGGAAAAAAAAAAAAAAATTTTTGCTTTACATTTTTTTTTTTCTGAAAATTGAAGTGCTAGTCACCTCCTCGGAGAAGTCACCTCCTCGGAGAAGTCACCTCCTCGGAGAAGTCACCTCCTCGGAGAAGTCACCTCCTCGGAGAAGTCACCTCCTCGGAGAAGTCACCTCCTCGGAGAAGTCACCTCCTCGGAGAAGTCACCTCCTCGGAGAAGTCACCTCCTCGGAGAAGTCACCTCCTCGGAGAAGTCACCTCCTCGGAGAAGTCACCTCCTCGGAGAAGTCACCTCCTCGGAGAAGTCACCTCCTCGGAGAAGTCACCTCCTCGGAGAAGTCACCTCCTCGGAGAAGTCACCTCCTCGGAGAAGTCACCTCCTCGGAGAAGTCACCTCCTCGGAGAAGTCACCTCCTCGGAGAAGTCACCTCCTCGGAGAAGTCACCTCCTCGGAGAAGTCACCTCCTCGGAGAAGTCACCTCCTCGGAGAAGTCACCTCCTCGGAGAAGTCACCTCCTCGGAGAAGTCACCTCCTCGGAGAAGTCACCTCCTCGGAGAAGTCACCTCCTCGGAGAAGTCACCTCCTCGGAGAAGTCACCTCCTCGGAGAAGTCACCTCCTCGGAGAAGTCACCTCCTCGGAGAAGTCACCTCCTCGGAGAAGTCACCTCCTCGGAGAAGTCACCTCCTCGGAGAAGTCACCTCCTCGGAGAAGTCACCTCCTCGGAGAAGTCACCTCCTCGGAGAAGTCACCTCCTCGGAGAAGTCACCTCCTCGGAGATTTCTTATCCTCGGAGAAGTCACCTCCTCGGAGAGGTCACCTCCTCGGACAAGGTGGTTAGAGAGAATATCCCCCATGTGCCTTGCACATGGGCTCCATCCTACATCATGAGGTGCCTATAAATAGCACCCACCCATAGCTTTACAAGGGAGGGATTTTGGAGATTTTTGAATTCTTGGGAAAGAACTAATTTCCCTTCTCCATTATCAACCTTGAGAGTGAAAGTGGGAGATCCATGGGAGAGCCTTGCCATTATTCTATTCTCTAGCCATTTTGCCTTCTTCTTCACCCAATCTCTTATCTCCATCATCTCCTTTGTTGTTGTGTTCCTAAGTTGAGGTTATTGAAGAATCTAAGCCTCTCATCATATTCTAGAGAATTCGAAGTTGTTCTTCAAGGATCTTCGAAGATCTTCGAATTTTCCAACTCCTTTCTTGAACCCTCTCCTACAATAGTATAGATAGATAGATACGTTTTTAGATCTAAAACCCTTCCACATCGTTCACATACTCCATCCCCATTGAGCACTGATGACCCCCTCTTCCACCAGCAAACCCCTCCCCATTGATAAGTCTCCACAGTCTTCTTTGTATTCTTCTTCCACCATTTTTTTTTTCTCTTTCTTGAGCGATGGAGAGGGACGGGACTAGTTTGTGATGGAAGTGGGGCTGAGAACCTCAACTGGAAATGATGGGAATCAATGTTGGATCATGATGGGGCAGGGGTCAATGACGAGAGGCGACAAAGATAAAAAGAGAGAAGGAGCAACAATGGACGATGGTAGAGGTCATCGTTGGGAGAAGTGGGTTGAAGAGGGGAAATGCTGGCGGGTTCAGCATTCGAACATGGCAAAAGTTGTGGAGGGGCTTGCCAGAGATTGGAAGGGGGGGTTGTCGGAAACAATAGCAATGGCGGTGAAAAGATAGGTAAGCTGTGAAATTAGGATTAGAATTTTGAGAATTTTGATTTCAATAATTTTAGAAAGCAATAAAAGTATAATATTTCTTTTTTTTGAAAAATTAAGGTGTATTTATTTTTTTGCTGTATAAATAAAACTACCCAAAAATTACAACCCAGAACAAAAAATAAACACTTACTAGTTTGTCTTGTTAATTAAATTTATTTATCAATAAGTGATTCATAAAATAAAAGAGACAAATATGTTAATCATATTGTTATTTTGTACTATCTTTAAGCAATTTTTGCTCTCAAAACTTTGCCATCTCATTGGCCCAGTCATCAAGCCACATTATCACTTGTCTATAAAAAGAACTTTCAAAATTTTAAGTCTTGTTTGGCATAATCTATTTTAGTTTATTTTTTTTAAATCACATCAATTAACACATCTTCTCTACTTTTTTATACATATTTTTATAAAAAATTAAAAAATATACTTATTTAAGACATTCCAAACTATTCCTTAGTGTCAATGCCGTCGTCCAAGGTAAAAGCTACTTTTGCCTTAGAATGATTTTCAGGTAAATAGGATTTGATGGATAATAAATTCTAAATAGGATTTAATGGATAATAAATTCGTTTGGCATAATCTATTTTAGTTTATTTTTTTTTAAATCACATCAATTAACACATTTTCTCTATTTTTTTATACATATTTTTATAAAAAATTAAAAAATATACTTATTTAAGACATTCCAAACTATTCCTTAGTGTCAATGCCCTCGTCCAAGGTAAAAGGTGCCTTAGAATGATTTTCAGATAAATAGGATTTAATGGATAATAAATTCTACAAATAAAATATATTAATAACTTAATCAAGAAAAAAATGAAAACATAGCCAATAGGCCCAAACCACGTCATGGGCCTGGCCCATTTCCTCCAATTATGGAAAAAAAGGTTCAACAAAACAAAAACAAGAACAATAACAAGGCCGAACGAGCCCCTATGACGTTGTGCCCTTCTCCTCTATTTCGACATGGAGTGCTCTCTATCTAGCTTTAATCAGGGTGATTTTAGCGCTCTCTCCCTCTGTTCTCGAATCTCTCTCTGGTATGTAGATACTTCTCCCTCTTAATTCTTTAATTTTCTCGGGAAAATTTTTGACCTAGTTTTCATACGAACGAGTTTAACCGATTTTTCAGACTTTTTTTCATTCAAAAATTATCTTCCTAGTCGGTTAATTGTGATAGAAAGGTTCAAGACTTGAGCTTAATCGAGCATTTCTTTTGCACTTAGAATTTGTACATTTTCTTGATTGTGACTGTAGCTTTAACTTTGGAGAATTTGTACATTTTCTTCATAGAAAGGTTCAAGACTTGAGCTTAATCGAGAATTTGTACATTTTCTTGATTGTACTAGACACCCAAAAGCTAAAACCTTTGTTCTTATTCAAAATTGTTTGCTTTTAACTGGTGGGGACTTGGGTTTTTCTTCTTTGTGAAGCATTTCATTCTTTCTATTTGTATATGCATTATTAGCTATGTACACAAATGCTGTGTGATATTTATTAATTTTTTTATTTTGTTTTTTGGGATGTTTTTAGAATTGTTTAACGCAGACTGGAGGTGGACTTAAACAATTTTTGCGGACGACAAGGCGGGGAATAATTTCAGTAGGCTCTGGGAGTGGTGGAATCTACATCCTGCCTTTTGAGGAGGTATGTTGATTACTTAAGACTTGTACATTCTCTAAATTATTGCCATTTAGTTTGGTATCTGGTTAAAGAACTTGCATTTGTGTTATCTTTGAACCTTCTAATGGGAAGTAAAGATCCCCCACCTTATGAGAAAACATTACCATCTGTTGCACTAAGATCTTAACCAATGCATGTATTTTTGTTTTTGTTTTTGTTTTTGTTTTTTGGAAGCTCCATTTTACTCTCACACAATCATCTGCTTTTTATTTGGGTAGGTCTCACTAGAAAGATTGGTTTCGTAGATTATGGGTGTATATGATGGAAGCCCATAGATATGAGAAAAGTACCTTCCTATTACTTCTTACTCAAGTGTAAACTGAAACTTTATTCTATTCATACGATCTGAACCGGGTCATCTCAATCTTGGCACTCTCATACCAACCCGGCTAAGTATAATATTTGTAGTTGATTTGCTGACATCTCTCTCTCTCTCTCTCTATATATATATATATATACATACATATCTCGTGTTTTTGTATGTGCTTGCTTGTCAAGTGGGCTAGTTTACACAACAATCTTCTAATTACACTAAATCACATGTTTACTCCCAATGGAAGCAGATGAATGTTGCTATTTGATGAAATCTGCCAAATGGCGATAAATTTTTCTCAATCTGTTTCCAAATGAGGAAAGGATTATTGAGAAAGGATTTGTATGCTAATAACAGAACTTTTCAGTTTTTGTCCAGTGCCCACGACACTTAATTTTCTATTGTCATCGCACCTTTTAATTCCCAGGTTTGCTCACATTTATTGTATCTTCTTACATATATTTATAGTTTTCATGAAAGTATGGAAGGAAATAGGCGACCCTTCTTTAAGAAACTCCCTAACACACAATTTAAGAAAAAGGGAGGTGCCAAAAGAGGAAAGTGGTCTAATTCTAGTCGGGAACAATCTTCTGGTAATTCCCACACTTCAGATACTGTTTATCGGATACTCTGCCATTCTAGAAAGATTGGTAGTGTTATTGGAAAAGGTGGAAGCATAGTCCAAGCCCTTAGGGAAGAGACCCTGGCAAAGATTACGGTTGCTGATTCTGTCCCCGGATCAGATGAGAGAGTGATAATCATATATAGTCCTTCTACAAAGATTTATGAAAAACACAACAGTGATGATGATCAGGATGCAGCCACAGACAAAGGAGGTGATCCCACGGAGCCACATTGCCCGGCACAAGATGCTCTCTTGAAAGTTCATGACAGAATTATTGAGGAAAACCTTGTTGGTGGAATGGAAGATGAAGATGGTAATGAAAATGTAGTCACGGTCACTGCACGCCTTCTTGTTCCAAATAATATGGTAGGATGTCTTCTAGGAAAAAAAGGGGATGTCATTCAGAGATTGCGAAGTGATACGGGCGCAAGTATTCGTGTTCTTCCGGCAGAACATCTTCCTTCCTGTGCTGAGAGCACTGATGAATTAGTGCAGGTATCATTTCTTTTGTCCTGCAGCTCCTTTATGTAGTCAATACTCAAATGTTCCTATATATATATATTGCTCATATGCTTATTGGAGAAGGTAATATTGGATCAAAAAGTTGGTGACATCCTTGCCATTTTTATACATATACATATGTAGTACTAGGCATGTTCTTCGAAGAAAATCATCCAAAATTGTGCATAAAGAATTCACATATCAATCTTATTATGTTGGTTGTTGGAAAGACAAAAGTTTATGTTGTCATTTATTATGATCTCTGTATATCATTGTTTGCCCATAATCAGTCCCTCAAAAAGGTCATCTCCATGCCTACAAAGCAAAACTGGTTGTAGTTTCTTTAAATGGTTGCACTGCACTATCAATTTCTGTGCCATAATATCATACTGTTGGCTCACACACATACCTAAACCCCTGGTGCTTGTGCAAAATTATAAAAATAAAATAATAAAAATAAAAAATAAAAAGGACAGATGTGTAAATAAGAGAAGTAAAAGTGCATAACCATGCTTCAAATTACTTTTTTAAAAAATGCCAAAAAATACATTTCATAATGAAAGAAGGTAAAGTGAAATTTCAAAACAAATAGCCGTGCCAAGAAGTCATACAGAAGTATTTTTATTGATTAGTATGGCAAAATATAATTAATAAATGACAGCAAGAGGGAATGCCATGCGGCATACTCATATAAAAGGTTAAACCAGGATAACCTATGCAGAAAAATTGCCTATACTCACAACAGGCTTAAAACACTTGCAAATGAAGAGGAATCCAGTAAATCGAAAAGATGCTTTAGGTCAGGCGTAAACCTTCCCTGAAAGCCAACTACACAAAATAACCAAAAAGACTTCTAAATTATGTCTGTTTGATAATTTTGTTGACACAATTAACTGTTCTATTTTATTTGATTGATTTAAGGTTATCGAAATGATCACGGGCAATATGCTGATGAGGTGTGAGATACAAATTATGCTTCTTCTCATCTCCTGTCCTTGGCCGAGAAAAGGAATAAAATCATGAGGATAACATATAGAAAGAAAAAAAAAAGATCTTCCTGTTTCATTTTGTTGGAATTCTTTGTTAGCATTTTTGGTCACTTTAATTAGCTGTTGCTTTAAGTTGGCAGATTAAATTTGCATATTTTTTTTTGAACATAACGGGGGCAAAAGAAGAAAGGATTGCACAGTTCTGTTGCCTTGTCATCCCCAGTTGAAAATATTTGATATTGGTATGTATTCTACAGATATCAGCAAAACCAGCAGCTGCGAAGAGGGCCCTTTATGAAGTTTCCACTCTATTGCATCAGAATCCAAGAAAGGACAAACCTCCTTCGAGCTTCCCCATGCCCCATCGGGGCCAAGGTTTTCATCCTCCTGGTCCTCCTATGGCAAATATGCCCCCACCAGGAAATCCTATGTGGTCTCAGCGGCATTCTAACTCCCATGATATGCCACAAATGCCTTGGATGGGAGGATATGGAAACCAGCCTTCTCCATTTGGGCCAGGTGGTTTCGATGGTGGTCCTCCTATGCACGGTGGTGAAGTTCCAAGTGAATTTTCTTTGAAGATCTTGTGCTCAGCTGGGAAAATTGGTGGAGTCATTGGCAAGGGAGGCTTCAACGTAAAACAGTTACAACAGGAGACAGGAGCTAGTATTCATGTCGAGGATGCATTGGCAGAGTTGGAGGAACGTGTGATTCGTGTTTCTTCTTTTGAGGTTGACCTTTTTTTCCCTTCTCTCTTTTTCATTTACGGCCCCCAAACCCTCAGGTTTAGGCTTTAGACGTTTAAAACATATCTTATGCATCTCTTCATTCAATTAATAAGCACCCTTTTGAACAAACTTTTTTGTATTTACCATCTCTAGATTCTTTTTGTTATCAATGCACTAGCTGTAAATCATTGTACTGCAATTGTTTCAGGCCCTGTGGAACCCAAGATCACAAACTATTGAGGCCATTCTTCAGCTTCAAAACAAAACAAGTGAATTCTCTGAAAAAGGAAATCTTACTACAAGACTTCTTGTTCCATCAAGTAAGGTTGGCTGCATTCTTGGACAAGGAGGTCATGTAATCAATGAGATGAGACGGAGAACCCAGGCAGACATACGTGTTTACTCCAAGGAAGATAAGCCCAAATGTGCAGCCGATGATGAAGAGCTTGTACAGGTTAAGTGGTTGCAGCTTGCTAATTTAATTCTAGTTACTTTCTGTCATTTTGTTGAAATTTGATTTTTCTGGATGTATACTTGCACTTGTTTTTGCTTATATGAAGATACTTCCTATAATACTGATCCATGCACTTGATAAGTTCAGATATCTGGAAACTTTGGTGTAGCGAAAGATGCTCTGGCAGAAGTTGCATCAAGACTTAGAGCACGATGTCTGCGAGATGCCAATGCTGGAGCTGAACCTGCTACAGTTGGGCCAGTTAAGGGATTTGGTCCTGCAGGCAGTTTACCTGGTGGAGGGCCACGTCCGTCTGGCCCCGTAAGACCTGGTAGCTCTAGTGGATTTGAATTTGCACAGGTATATTATATTCGAAGTGTAATGTTCAATCCTATCATGTCCTTCAATAATCATGCTTGAGCCCTTTGATCAATTATTTGTTTATAAAAAAAAAAAA